TCCACTTTTGATTTTTAAATGCTCATATATACTACAGTTTGGGTAAAGATAAACACCTGATCAAATGTGTTGCTCATCTGGATTCACCATTGTTCCTTGCCTCCTGTACCAGTAAACTGGGTGGGAGATATCTATGACAGAACATTTTAAGTTGTTTATATCTCATTGTCAGATTCTGTTATTTTCACCTGAAACTGTGTAACTATACATCAAAATTTTACAATTCTGGAATGAATCTTAGTCAAATTATATTGCATTCTACAAAATTAGTATCTGCCTGTCAGTGGTTATATCATTGGTTTCAAGTAGGGATTGCCGGTCAAATCAGGAAACAAGTCAATATTCCCTAGTTATTCCCATAAATCTGGCTCATTAAGTCAGTCATACATATAGCCGCTGTACATAGACTTGCTGGCATTTCATTTATGCCATAAGTGTCCAACACAGAGAGACTGAAATCTTGTTAATAGACATTTATTCTTTTGCAGTGTGTGTAGTGTGTGCATGTTTGGGTGTGTATGTGTGTGTGAATGTGTATGTATATGTGCTTGTGTATGTATGTGTGTGTGTTAGTGTTTGTATGTTGTGTGTGTGTGTGTGTGTGTGTGTGTGTGTGTGTGTGTGTGTTGTGGATGTGCTTCCTTTGTCTTTGTTGATGAGAACAAGTTGTTCTTGGAATGAATATTCCTGTGCAGAGTAAGCATCCATTACCATCCTGCTGAGAAAAAAATAAGCACATATGGTGGACTTTACTTTTGTATTTAAAAAAAAAAACAAAAACCTCTCTGTTTTTGTGCTTTGTTCTATTCTTCTCTGTGAAATGGTAACAATTTTTCAAATAAAAAAATCTCTATGGTAATTCTTGAAATGTTTTATCATTACTCTTACATTCAGAAGTAAAGGGGATAATGATTTATAGAAATTCCATAAAGGAAGTAAAACACATTTATTAGAAATAGTTGTATTTAATTTAGAAATCATATTTGTGCACACAAATTTAAGTCGACAGGGCTAGGTTTTTAAAACCAAGTAGGATCTTCAGTCATTCATTGAATGATGATGGTACTGTTTCTCCCTGTCTAAGTATAGATGGCAAGATGTTAAAAGTGAAACTGTCTGGGTAACAAAAGGGCCAGACTGGGAGGGGAGGGGGTAGAAGAGGACAGGAAGTTTGGGGCAAATATCCCCACAGTCCCATGTACAATGAATATACATAACCATAAAAACATTTACACACACACACACACACACACACACACACACGCACACATGCACACGCACGCGCGCGCACACACACATACACCACATATAATGCCTGTATATTGTTTATTTAACACATAGTTTAATGAAAAAACATTTTATTCCATAAATACTGTAAGAAATAGCCAAGGAATTTTGAATAGTAGTATTTTTATATCCAAAATATGTACATATAATTTATAGTAAAGTGTCCAAATGGTTTTTTATTTTAATAAGCACTCCTGATTAACTGAGAACCAATCAAGAAACTGTATGTAGTTCTTTCTCTAAGGGTTTCTTTGGAGGTGGCACTTACAGTGATTTATTACATGGTTGATGGCTTTTTAAATTTAATAAATCATCAAGTCTATTCTGTATCATCATTTCTGTCAGGCTGTGGACTTTTCAGTCTTTTCTAGTGTAGTTGTGACTCATGCATTCTCATTGTTGAACTGTTTGTCTTTGTGCAATCAGTATTATCACACACAGATAAAGCCATACAATGATGAGACCGAATCACACCTACACTAGAAAAGACTGGTAAGTGCCACATCCACGAGAGTTCCAGTCACCTGTGTCCTTGCCAACACTTGATGTCATCCATCTTTTACACTTGAACCATTTTAATGTGAATATTAGAGTATGTCAGACTGTAATTACTCTTATAAAACAAGGAAAAATAACTGCTTTCTTTTTGTTTTGTTTTGTTTTTCAAGACATGGTTTATTTGTGTCATTTTGGTGCCTGTCCTGGATCTCGCTCTGTAGACCAGGCTGGCCTTGAACTCACAGAGATCCTCCTGTCTCTGCCTCCCAAGTGCTGGGATTAAAGGCGTGTGCCACCACCACCCGGCCAATTGCTTTCAATAAATCATGCCACTTTAATTTTTAATATGGTTTGTAATGTTTTTACTACCCAAATAATAATAAGAGTAGGTAACTCAAATATTTAATGATAGAGTAGGTGAACTTATGATTCTGAAACTGGACTTATATAGTTAGTTAACTGTCCTAAACTGTGTTAATAAAAACACCAATAAGCAAACAATTCCTCAAGTTAACACCAAGCCCCATGAGTGCATGTTAAAAGACTTCCTGGTCTGATTCAGAGCAAAAGTGATCGGAGAGGAAGCTATGAGTGACAGTCTGAGGAAGACTTACCAAGGGCTCTAGAGGATCCTAGGCCAAGTGCAGCCAGTGGAGGAGGTCTGTGTTTCCAAACATTGGACCTGTTTTCCCATCCCACCTCTCTCAGTAACTAAGGGCCAGATGTAGAAATAGATGTTTTACTGAGACGCCAGATAACTTTATACTTCTGGGGTTCTTGTTTTTTGAGTTCAATTAAGCCAAAATTTGTGATCCCCAAACAGAATTCTAATGGTGAATTGACTGTCCCCACACCGAGTAACTAAAGAAATGTATGAATCCCAATTATTATGTTATATATTTTGTTTCCTGCTCTAGTTGGTGATGGGACCAGGGAGAATGGAGCCAGTAAATGAGGTGGACTAAACTCTCACGCAATAACCAACTTTATTCAGAGCATCAGACAATTTATACTCTGAGGGTTAAGAGGAGTTAGATGAATAAAACATACAAATACAAGGATAAGTTGCATGTGACAAAAACATGTTTTTCTGTAGAGGCATATGAACAAATAACAATAGCCAGTTGTAATGAGTAATCTGAAGTACATTCACTTCTATCTTATCCCTTATACCTGGGAAGGGCACAAAACCACATTCCAAGAACAATTCTAGGTTTTGAAGAAACTGCGATCACAAGTCTTGTTTTATTAGAATTTCCTTACAAGCTTCAGAATTCTCTTTGCAGGACTCCATTCTTGGACTGTGTCCTGACAATATTTATTTACCCATATTAGCCATCCTTTTTATGAATTCTCAACACATTAATTAAGGAGTCAAATATATAATGTGCTTGAAACGTCGAGACAATGATGTATACTAGGCAGAGAAGATCAAGGTTGATTGAGTCCTTGGTATTTAAGAATAGGATGCATTCACAACGTAAACAGACTCTACCTTCTGCTTCTTCTTCCTGGCGTTTACTTCCCAATCCCCAGTGGATACTGGGCAACCGCCTCTATGTTCTGTTGTAGCTGCACAAAAAGTGAGTTCTGGACTGTTTTGAAAAGAGCAAGATTTAAACAATTGCCTGTCACAGATTTGTTAATACTATACTTTTCATATCTAGTTAGTATTATCAATGTCTAAGTTTCTATTATTTAATATTTAGAATTGTTTAATTCTCATTTTGAAATGGATATTCCCTGAACTTACTTCATATGGCTGTGCTCTTAAGAGTAGAACATAATTTCATTTTTTTCAAAGTTTTTTTTTTTTTACTTCATTAGAAACTTTTAGGAGAAGGCATGTTAACAGTTGTGACAAACTCCTCAAAGGGAAGGAAGGGAAGCTGCATTAAATTAATGTGAAGATCACTGTGGAAAGTCCCTATAGCTTTCCTATTGTCATAACATAAAAAGCAGATTACTAGCGGACGTTTGACTCACAGAGGACGTGATCTCCCAGCAGTAGCTTCTCCTTCCACCTTGTAGACAGAGGCTTAGGGTTCTCCCTATTATGTTGCCCACATGTTTTCTTCATTTTCCTTTCAAGAATATTATCCTTTGCTCCAGAAACCTCATTAACCATTCCATGAAGACTTAGGTTTCCTGGGTTAGCAGCTCACTTAGTAGTTTTTTTCTTTCCTGTTTTTCCCCAAATTTCTGACTCCAGACAGACTTCCCCATAGTTGTAGTGTGTATCACCTGTTTACTTTGCTTTACAGTGGCTGTAAATGTAAATGCTTTCATGTTACTCCATAGTGATGCGTTTGACTGCTCACTTGACTGATAAAGCCACAGTATACTGTCTGAAAACAAGTGCAATTATGTGGCTGAATTCTACTAGGTAACTTTGAAATCTATTAAAATGTAATGAACAAATGTATCAATGAATGGTTTAATTGGCATTGGCATTTTATATTTCTAGGTTGGTAATGAGCATTGTGAGAACAAGAATTACACCTCCCTTTTCACCTAGTCTATTGGTACAGAATGTTGAATAGAGTAGGAATTGATACATTTTGGAACTTGTGAATTTAAATATTTTCATGTGCAATAAGTTGATACTACATTACAGTAATTTGGTGAAAGTAGCAGGACATTCTAGTACGTTCTACTGCCTGTGAAATTATCCCATTACTAATGTTTGCACCTTAGTGAAAGTATATTATTTCCTCTATCTACAAAAGATTTTGTGGATTTTTATGTCGTTATAAAATTAATAGTTTTGGCTTGTATAACTAAATTCATATATATGTATATAAAATATATGTGTTTGTATATACATATACATTTACACAGGGGCTTATCTAAATACTGCATAAAATAAATCGATGCAGACACTGTGGGTATAGACATACATATGTAATTTAGCCAGAATTATTAACATCACACACACACACACACACACACACACACACACACACACACACACACACACTCACATTTTTTATCATGTTGTTAAACATAGTTAAAATCCATTTTTTGTTATTGTTCTCACTATAAGCATTTCACCTCAGTAGAATGGTGCAACAGTTTATCCATCTATGTTTTGAGAAGCACAGTCCTGATGTCAGTTCCTAGAATGAAATTCTGAACCCAAAAGTCTCAAGCAGCTCAGAAGGATGCTGCTGACCAGGTCTCTAAGTCATAACTCTATCCTTTCACTCTGTTAGCTATGCTCAACGTGTGGTTGGAAACGGAATGAAAGCCCAGTCTGGAAATCCTGAAGTGAGAGTCAGAGGAAGTGACCCTGTGATAAATCAGATCATTGATAAACTGAAGCATGTTATCCAGGTAAGTGCTGGCTTGATTTTTTATGGATATACTCAACTGTAAATGAAGTGTGACTACTTTCCACATATTTGATAAATTTACTAATTGTGTCTAATATCCTACCTAAATTGATCTTTGTAATAATTTATTTTTATCTAGAGTTCCAGAAATAGTTTTTTGAGCCATTATCATTTAAAGTCAATCCAGATGGTATGGTGGGTGATCTGTGTATGTGAAAAAACAAGGCTTTGCCTTTCACATTTCAACTATGAACCTCTTAGGGTATATTCATCTTCAGTAAAGAATAAGCCTAGAAATTACTACTACTAAAGAAAACCATATAAGACCACAAAAGCCAGAATTGCCTTTCATATAACTATATGAACTTTGTCGTGAAAATAGCACTATCCTTAACCAAACAACACATAAATAATCTGCATTTCTGGTACTTATTTATTTCACATTTTACATATTAAGTGTGTAATCTTCCTAGTGGGTATTCATTCAATACTTCTGCTTGTTCTTTTATATCATAAGCATTGATGTTTTTAATACATAATATATGAACCATATGCAGATAATTATCCAAAAATTATTTCACAAACTGTTTATTAATTGAAATAATGTTATATATTGTAAATACCACCTGCATCCTACATTTAGTGCTATTTGATGTAGGAAGGAGTATGTCTTAAGTTATTAGTCATTCTGTGACAATTTATGTATGTATATACTTTCATTTTATCCCAAACTTGGTGTAGATAGTTGATCATTTTAAGTATGATACTATAGAAAATCTAAATAGCTCTGAATTTTATTTGCATGTAAGGTGTGTCTGAGTCACTTGTATATTGTCACCATTTCAGCTTATTCAGAGACAACTTATTGTTTGGACTCAGCTCATGAATCTCTAAATCCCAATAAAGCATACGTAAGGGGACAGAGAAGCTAGTGGACAAAGTTATAGATTTCTTTCGGCTACATTGCCTATCCTGTTGCACCCACAGTGGCACCTCAGAAACCCCTTTGAGTGGCAGAACCAGAGGTACGTTCTGCTCAGAAAAACGTGTAAAAGAAAAACATATGAGGAATAGCTCAGAGCACCCACACCCCTCAAACAGGTAAAGCTAAACTAATTTCCTCAAAGACAAAACTCCAACGTAAAATAGCTGTTATGCTACCAACAAGTTGAATGCTGAGGTGCATCTGGGGACAGAAATCCTAAAGATTGTATCAGGAGCAAAAGCAACAGGGAGGAAGGGGGGAAGGTGTTGGCACCTGGCCCACCAGCTGAGGTCACCTGGAGGTCTGTTGTCCTCAGAAGCAGTAGTTCTCAGACCATCAGTGACTATACCTCACACATTCACTAGAAACTGGTTCTGCCAAATTTCCTTTTGATTGCAAATTTTCTTCTCCACAGCAACAAGAAGAGCATTGCTGCTGAAATTGATCGAGACAGTGATAACCTAATGAGGCTTCAAGAAAACTTAGGATATTATTTTGCTTTCTGAGTTTCTGTTGGCTCGAAGTCAATATATTAGCAACTGCATACACAGGTCAAGTAAATGTCCACTGTATGCTTCTGTACATTTTTCTGAGTTGGAGGTACCACAAGGAAAAGATACAGAATGAGGATTTGTGGTTGAGTGTCCTGGCAATAAATTAGGATACAAGAAAATGAGACTGTTTAGAGAAATGAACAGAAATATACTGTAGTAGTTCTGGTACTAGACAGAAGTTTTATCTTGACTCAACAACAACTCAGGATGGCAGACCCCTTCAGGTTGCTTGTAGAGAATCCAATATGCATATTTTTAGTTCCCAATGTGCACTAGACATTGCTAGATAATACTGGGATAAGGATGAGCTATGCTAACTCAGCTCCAATCAACAGCAGCCAAGGCAAAACTAAGACCTGTAGCTGTCAGAGTGATTACCTCTTTTCAAAGTAACAACTCATAGTAATATCTAGTATGTGACTGTTTTGTAGGTATACATTGTTTGAAACTGTAATGCACAATTGATAATAAACCAGAATGTTAATATAATAATAATCAGTTCATTGTACTATGCGACAACAAAATCTTCATGATTTCCATAGTGGGTTACAAATGACCTAGTGATTGTACAATGTAGGCAGAGTTTTCCTGTCCCAACCACCTGCTCCCAAATAACTGGCAGCTGCTTCCCAAATAACTGACTCAGAGACTTGATATTAAATTATAAATACTTGGCCAATAGCTCAGGCTTGTTACTAACTAGCTCTTATGACTTAACCCATTTCTATCAATCCATGTGATGCCCCGAGGCTCGTGGCATTTTGTGTGTCTGACTCATTCTCCATCTGTCTGGTGACTCATTCTTCCTCCCAGCAATCTTAGTTTGGCTTTCCTACTTAACCTTATCCTGTTTAGCTATTGGCCAGTCAGTTTCTTTATTAAACCAATCCCAGTGACATATATTCACACAGTGTAAAGGAATATTCCACAGCAGTACAAAGTGATCTTTGAGTGTGAAAATTAGAACTTTAATGATTTTATCTCATTCTTCCATTAATTATGTTAGGAAGTGAAATATGTCATCAGGTAGTATGTGTGTAGTTTTCTGAACCAATATATATATATATATTAGTAAATCTAAATAGCTCTGATATATATATATATATACATATAGTGGGCATGCAATAAAACTGTTTCTGTATCTATATACCTATATATCTATATTAATATGTATCTATCAATCATCTATGATTTGTGTGCATATACGAAGAAACCTGCTGCACCTAATATTTCCATTGCTGCTGTTTATTGTCTAGGTAAGTGCACAGACCTAAGAACATAAACACAAAGGAATGGGTAGATCTCCAGTCTCCAGACATTCATAAAAGGCCTGTGGAGAAGGCTTACTGATCTGTTGCCCTGCAGCATAGCTACATCCTTGTTAGAAAGATATCAAAGCCACATCCTTTTCAAGGTATTGCAGGGAAATGATCCTACTTTTAAGGCTCCTGTTCAGATTGCACCCCATTCTTTCATCTTTGTAGGTATGCAGATCTCAAATTATTTGGACTTTCCTTTCATTGTAGAATTACAAGAAAATATCAAATGTATGCTGCCTTTGAGGTCTGAATTTAAAGTCTGCTGGGATCATATGGCTGAAAATTAGATTTTTTTTTTTTTTTTTTTTTTTTTTTTGTTTGTTTTTCGAGACAGGGTTTCTCTGCGTAGCTTTGCGCCTTTCCTGGAGCTCACTTGGTAGCCCAGGCTGGCCTCGAACTCACAGAGATCCGCCTGGCTCTGCCTCCCGAGTGCTGGGATTAAAGGCGTGCGCCACCACCGCCCGGCTGAAAATTAGATTTTTGTAAAGGATCACAGGAAGTCATTTCCTGAAAAGGTGTCACTAACACATTAACCTTTTGTACCTTAGAATATACTGCTTCATAAGCTGATTCTCCTGCAGATGAAGAAAAGTTTTTATTTTGCCAGACTTCTTACTCCTGATTTTACATATATATATATATATATATATATATATATATATATATATATATATGAATGTATATGGCCTGGCAATGTGGCTGGTGTCATGTGCAACTGCAAAGGACAGTTAACAGGATCCCTAGTGTCATTTGTGAGAATCCTCCGGCATGAGGACTCAATACTTTGGGGGTAGTATGGGCTTAGTGAGGGCAAGGACACGGGGACGTATTTCACAATCTAGTCCGTAGATTTAGATGAACATGTAAGTATTTGTGTAAAGTTGTTTTCACTGTAGTGGATATTAGCTACATTTGCAAATGTGCACTGTGGAAAAATGCTATACTTTCTAAGAGATTAATGTGTCCCTTGCTCCTTTGTCTGTATACAAGTATACAGAAATAATCTACCTCTATTTTTTGCCAGCAAAAATATTAGTAATAATTACCTCCATATGTTTTTTGCGAAACACCTGTGTTCTTGGCCTGCTGTAGCTGTGACCTCATTCTCTCTAACTTCTGTAATTAGTCACTAAGCAAGTGGGCAGAGATTTATGTTGAAATGGCCATATTTTCAATGTTTTTACAGTTATTTTTAAATACATTTAACATATAATTTTTAAAATTGTAGTTTGAGAGTAGGTTTATTAAACAATGAGACAAGGTGGAGATGTCTACTCTCAGTGGATTTGCACTTTCCAATAATGTAAATGAACAAACATCACAATAGCTGTCACAAATCACAAAGAAACACAGTAGACTGGGAGAAGAACTCGAGAAGCCCGTGCTACTGAATGAAAAAAAGGAATGAGGAACGTTGGTGGGAACTCTGGGGCAAAAGGACTGAAAGTTCATCGTCTTTGTGGCATTGAAAGCACAAAGTTACAGCAGCATGGATGAACAGCAGAGACAACCTCGAAGTATGCATGGGAGAATGTTTGTAGGCTTCACTTACAAGTGCACGTTATTACACTAGAGTGTGTTTTGTACTAAATGAAAGAGGAAGACGTTTAAAGTGGTCAGAGGATGACTTAATTCATGTTTTATAAAAACAATCTTGTCTCTATTGTGGAAACTGGACCTTGTGGAGAAAGAACCAAAGCAAATCATACAGGTAGAAGATGATAATTATTGGGAATTAGGTGATCAGCATAGATAGTGATGAGAAGCAGATAAAGCCTGACAAATATTGGAAATGGAATTGGTTTGTGGGTAGATTGGAAATAGGAGCTAGGAAAAGAACAAGGGGTCAATTAGATGGTTCAGTGGGTAAGACCATTTGCTGTAAACCCCGAAAACCTGAGTTATATGGGGAACAGAAACATATAACAATTTTGCCATGATTTTGAGAATGAGGTAGAACCCTGCCAGTGATCAGGAAATGCTAGCAGTATGGACCATTTGGATGTGTGAGAGACCAAATCAGAGTCCCTTAGCAAAGTTAGGATTAACAAGGCATCCCCACAATAGCCAAAATACCTGCCTTCCACCTGCCTTATCACATGATAGCTACTCTCTGCAGTTCTCCTTTCTGTGTGTAGTACTG